CTGTGGTGCTGGAGAAGAGTATTGAATATACTATGGACTTCAAGGAGAACAAATAGGTTCGTTCTGGAGAGGGTGAAACCAGGCTGCTTTTTGGAGGCAAGGATACTGAGGCTTTATCTGATAGTGTTTGGACATGTTGCACGAAGGGACTGGTCCTTGGAGAGGGATGTCATGCTTGGGAGGGTGGAGGGACAGTACAATAGATGAAGACCCTCAATGCGATGGATTGATTCAGTGACTGGGGTAATGCGTGTAGGTGTGTCAGAGACAATAAGGTTGGCACAGGATAGAGCAGGGTCCAGGGCTGTTATAAATAGGGTCACTGAGTTGCAAGCATTTAACTACAATATACATATAGATTTGGAAGTAGGAGTGGCATCCACTTCCTAAACAACATACCGCTAAAAACTCTATGAACTTTTATAAACGTAAATAGTTGTAGAGGGGCTTCAGGCCTTCTATTCATAGGGTCGCTATGAGGCATGCTTGACCCAAAGGCAATCAACACACATAAATAACATACACACGCGCGCGCGTGTGTGTGTGTGTGTGTGTGTGTGTATGTATATATAAATAAAGCTTGGGATATCAAGTATCTTTTTCCTTAAAAGCAAAACAAAACAGAACACACTGTAGAATACTCATGTAAAGGTTAACTTTACAAATGGGCTGTGCTTTCCTTACATATGTTTGGAGTAGCAGCACAATAGTAGGATGATGAAAGCGGAGGTTTCAGGGAAAAGCAAAAACCAAAGACAATCCCTTGTCATTGAGTCAGTTCTACCTCCTAGCAGTCGGTTTCCAAGGCTGCTAACAGACTGTCAAGCCTTCTCCCAAGAGCAGTGGGACCTGTTGGCTTAAGTGCTGAACCACCACCCTGCAAGGGCTCCTTTAAAACCCCTCGCCATCTCATCAATTCTTACTGACAGAGACACTCCATCCGGTTTCTGAGGCCATAAATCATGACAGGAGGAGATTGCCCGTCCTTTTTCTGTGGAGTAGCTGATGAACTCATACCTCAGAACTTTGTGGTTAGAGGTTCAACACTGTACACCCTTTGCCACCGCAGCTCCTTGGGTTCCTTTAGAAAGAGGTAAACCTGGGCATCTCTGTTGCTGAAAGGCTGTGAGGTCTTCAGCAATTCATGTAGCACCTCTAAGCCTTAACATATTAATAAGAGCTATCTTTCAGGACTGTTACTGTCCTTTGTTATATTAATAATTATTCTTAATGTAGACTCCACACATAATTTACTCTCAGATGAGAATTATTTCATAGTTCTCTGATTTAAAAACACACACTCTCCCCACACACTCTGTAGTTAATCAGAAAAGTTGCATATTTGTATTACTTTCATCTAAGCTCTGAACCCAGTTTCATACTTCTGTTGCTTATACAATAGATTTCAACTTATGACTTCCCCAGTTAAAATAGACTGCTCCCTAAGATTTTTAACAGATTTTTTAGAAGTATATTATTAGACTTTTTTTTTTAATTTTAGTTTTTTGTGTGTACCATCAAACCGGATCTGACTGGTACACGAGGAGATTGTCCCTCCTTCTCCAGCAGATCATATGGTGGATTCAAACCGCTCATCTCTGGGATTGCAGTGCAGCTTCTTGCTATTAGGCCGCCAGAGCTTGCCTAGACCTTTCTTCCCCCCCCCCCGCCCCCAGATATTAAATCATTTATTGATTACACATGATAATAGATGATACATAAATTTCAATCCCACACATAATTTTTATCTGGTACCATTCTTCAATTTAGATATATTGCATAGATGTGCCAATGACCATTTTTAAAACCAAATAAATTGCTTTTAACTTTGCTTGGGTGACCATTTTAATGGGGAACTTCAGGTCACAACACATTACCTTGTCAGTTCAACTACACCAGATTTTCTGTAGACAATGGCTTCTCTGTTCCCAAGCAGTCTTCTAATGTAAATTTTTAATGAAATCCGGCATCACCCTAATAGACCTTTCTTTTAAGGCACCTCTGGGTGAACTTAAATGTCCACCTTTCTGATCAGCAGCCAAGCACATCAGCTGTTTGCACCTCACAGTCTCTTAAAACCTAACACTTGTGCTTAGCACCCAAGGGTCAGCCCTATGCACACTGCATTCTGACGGCATCCAGTCCAGCAGAAGGTGCTACCCCCTTTCCTATTGATAACATGTACATTCCGGTGCTCAGAATCCCTGCAATCTCATCACCACGGTCCTTCCTGTTGTCCAGGCTGCACTAGCTTAGCACCTCCAGCTCCGGGAAGCCCCAGCGCAGTGACCTCCCACTTGTGAATTCTGGAAATCACTTATCCTAACTCATCTTTGACATGTGCCCTATTTCACCTTTATTGTTTGTGTATGCATAGATTTCTTCCCAGGTCAGGCAGCCTCATCCTTCTTCTTTCAAAGATATTATTTATTGTGTTACAGTGCATACACAAAAATTTCACTTTAAAATGTAGTGGTTTTCCTTAAAAAAAAAAAACAACACAAAAAAACCTTAAAAAGAACACAACCAGTATCTTAGAAATGCCTTTTATCCCTTCCCAATTACAACATCCCCCTCTGAGAGGTAACCATTATCAGGAAATGTAAATGCATTAAAGTTTTCTGCTAAATATTTTTGCTTTGCCTATTTTTGAGATTTTCATACTGTAAAAATGTATATTTTTACTCTTCTTCCTTTTCTCAGTATGTTTTAAAATTCATGTATTGCATCATAGGTGTGGTTATAATTCATTTCGCTGCTATGTTGTAATTTCAACCATGGTGTGGTTAGAAATACCTAAGAAATTGTGATGCTCAAAGTTTCTGAGGAAAAGGGACATGCTTGTTTCCTCAGAGTACCAGATTGATAGATAAAGATGGTCAAATCAGAAATTGGCTAAAAGGGGGATATTAGGGCATGAAGTAACTGGCTTATATGCTTTCATGAAAGTAGTTGTTGGTGAATGATTGTTGTTGTTATGTGTCATCAGGTCGCCTGCGACTCATAGTGACCCTATGTACAAGAGCTCTAAACCCTGCTCTACCCCTTGCCAATCTTATTGTCTCAAACACATCCATCCCCATTTCCTGAGTCGCTGAATCAATCCACCTCATCAAAGGTCTTCCTCTCCTGCTCTGATCCTCCACCCTCCCAGGCATGATGTCCCTCTCCAAGGACTCATCCCGCCTTACAACATGTCCAAAGTATGTCAGATGAAGCCCCAGAATCCTTGCCTCCAAGGAGCAGCCTGGCTTCACCCTCTCCAGGACAAACTTGTTTGTTCTCCTAGCAGTCCATGGTATGTTCAGTACTCTTCTCCAGCACCACAGCTCAAAGGCATCAATTCTCCCGTCATCCCTAGTTGTGGTCCAGCTTTCTGATGCATAGCCAAGTAATTGCAAAAAGGATGGCCAGTATCAGGTGCACCTTGGTCTCCAGACTGACATCATTGCTCTTCAGTACTTTGGAGAGGTCTCTGACAGCTGACTTTCCCAATGCAATTCATCTTTTAATTTCCTGGCTGCTGGTACCAAGAGTGTTGATTATAGAGCTAAGCAAATGGAAGCTGTGAACAGTGTCAATCTCTTCGTCATCCATCCTGATGCTGCCAGTCTGCCCACTGGTGAGAATCTTTGTCTTCTTGATATTGAGCCTCAATCCATATTGAAGGCTGCAGTCCTTGACCTTCTGCAGCAAGTGCTTCAGGTCCTCCTCAGTTTCAGCAAATGGTTGTGTCATCTGAATAATGCAGATTGTTGATGAGTCTACCTCCAATCCTGATGCCACACTTCTCCTCATAGAGACCAGCCTCCTGTATAATCTGTTCCACATATAGATTGAAAAGATACGGAGCTAGGGCACATATATATTATCACTTAATATATTACCACTTTTGCCCATTTGTTGGCTAACACACCATATGACTGTGACCAACATCAGAAAAGCAGAGAAGTATACTTTTCTTATTGAGATTGAGAGAAAGCCTGAATCCTTGGGTGAACAGTAATTTGACATTTGGGTTTCTCTCTAAAGACTTGTAAATAATTTTATGAACATCTGATTGTATCACTTGCTGTACGTATACAAGAGTTTCTTTAAGGTAGATACCTAGGAGCTGAGCTTCTCGGCAGAGCACAGCACAACATTTTCACCTTTATTAGGCAATGGCAGATGGTTTTCTAAGTGGTTGTACATTTTATTTTTACTAGTATACATCAGAGAGTTGGACAATGACTAAGGAGGATAGAAGGAGAATTGATGCCTTTGAGCTGTGGTGCTGGAGAAGAGTATTGAATATGCCAGGGACTGTTAAGAGAACAGATTCATCCAGGAGAGGGTTAAACCAGGCTGCTCCCTGGAGGCAAGGATTGTGAGGCTTTATCTAACATACTTTGGTCCTTGGACAGGGACATCATGCTTGGAAGAGTGGAGGGACAGCGCAGGAGAGGAAGGCCTTCTATGAGGTGGATTGATTCAGTGACTGGGATAATCGGGATGGGAGTGTCAGAGGCAGTGTGATTGGCACAGGACAGAGCGGAGTTTAGGGCTGTTGTACATAGGGTCGCTATGAGTCGCAGGCGACTCGACGGCACATAACAACAACACCACCAGTAATAAGTTGGCATTCTGTTATTGCACTAAACCACTACTTGAAGTTTCTGCTTTAACGCTAAAGCCACTGGCCAGTGATTAGAGAATTAACTAGCTCGTAACTTCTAGCGAACTGTTTGTTTTATAAAAACTAATGAAAGATGGAAAGGAGTTTCTTGTGGCTTAGTGATAAGGAGCTGCACTGGCAACACAAAGACTCGTGGTTCGAATCCACCAGATGGGCAGTCTCCTGTGCTGTTTACAGCCGCTGAGAACCCGCTGGACGGTCGGCGGAGCTGGTTCCACCTTGATGGCAGCTAACAGCTCTGACAGATGGAAGAACACAGGTAAGGCTGCTTCATCTTCCTGTGGGCACACGGTTCACTGACCAGCTTGTGTTCATGTGACAGGTTCGGTAAAAATGCCAAAGTTGTGCATTTCCTGGGACAAGTCAAACCGTGGAATTACGCTTATGATCCCAAAACAAGGAGTGTGAAAGGTGACGCCCATGATCCTTCCATGATTCATCCAGAGTTTCTCAACATGTGGTGGGAGGTCTTCACCACCAACGTTTTACCTCTGCTTCAACAATTTGGCCTTGTTAAAGACAGCTTCTCCTACATGAATGTGGTACGTTTTGTGTCCTCCTTCAGATGGGTGGGAGGTGTAACTTGATAGAGCAATGGAGCTGGAGAATATTTAATGGTATTTAATGAGATGGGGAGGGGAGGGGGGAGGGAGAATGAGAATCAGTGAGCAACTTAGAAAGGAGAAATATCAGCAAAAAATCCAACCAAACCCACTGCCATTGAGTCTGTCCTGACTTGCGGCAACCCTCCATTGCATTTCCAAAGCTGTAAGTCTTTATGACTCTTTCTGTATTAAGGAAAGCTGCCCATCATTCTTCCTTGAAGCAGCAAGCGGATTTGAACAGCTGACTTTTTAGCTAGCAGCATCATAATGTTATGCACTACACTTCCAGGCCTTCAGCAAAGAAATTATTTGTGACACATTTAATTGGCTTAGTTTTTTAATACATATATATATACACACACACATACATAAAAGATACATATATCTTGTAACTAAATTTTTAGCCTATTGGACAATAAAAGATACTGAGATTATTCTTCAAGTAAGAGTCTATAAAAATGATACTTTTTAATTATACATTTAATGTTTTAGAAAAGTGAATCATTCACTTTTAATTAAACATCATACATTTAATGCTTTATACGGGTTAATCATTTCAATACCCTTACTTCCTTATTGGCATCTCTGGTGGCGTCAGGAGTTGCAATGCCAACCCAAAGCCTGCGTCTCTCTTGCAGTTTGAATTCACTAATGGAGGGGCTATTCCTTAAAGAAGGACATGATGCTGGGAAGGGTGGAGGGTCAGCGAAGGAGAGGAAGACCCTCAACCAGGTGGACTGACATGGTGACTCCCGCAATGGGCTCTTGTGTGTCAGGAAGTGTGAGGATGGCGCAGGACAGAACAGGGTTCAGCTCTTTTGTTCACAGGGTCACGATGATCACTGTGACCTGTGCTTGACTCGACGGCACCGAACAACAATGGCTCCTTGGGAGAAACATGAACCTTCTCCCTGTGATTTGCAACCTCAGAAGCCCAGAGGAGGGTCAGCTGAATGGGTTCCAGCTGTGGCAGTGAGCAAGTGCTTAGAAGAACAGCTCTGCAGTTAAAGTCAAAATAGGACAAACACAAAGCAAACACTTCTCTGGGGTTCTCTTCATTTCTTATCTATACTCTTGTAAGGGGCTCTGGTGGCGTGGTCCTTGAACTAAACAAAGGTCATGTCTCTGACAGTTCAAGTCCATCTGAGGCTTCTAAGGAGAAAGATGGGCCATCGCCCGTACAGTTTACAGCCTCAGACTCAGTGGATGGTCAGTGAGGCATGAGTGAGTGACGCTCCTGTAAACAAAGCAAACCCTAACTCTCTGCCATAGGTTAACTCTGATCCTCCTTCAGACTTCTGACACTCTATGGAAGTGCTCGTCTTCCTGTGGTAGAGCAGCCGGGAGATTCAGACCACTAACCTTTCTGTGAGCGGCACACTACACCACCCCCCTTTATACACCAGTGTTGTTGTTAAGTACCGTCAGGACAGAACCAACCTGTATCAGGACCCTCCAGCAGGTTTCTGGAGGCAGTAAATCAATCACACAGGAGGAGATTGCCCATATTTCTTCAGAAGCTGGTGGATTTGAACCACATGCCTTTGGGGGTGGCAGCACAACTCCTTACCACTAAGCCATCAGAGCTCCCCTTATACTCCCAACAGTTATACCCCCCCCGCCACACACACACCAGAGACAAACCTGTTGCCATCAAGTCAATTCTGGCTCATAGTAACCACATAGGCTAGAGTACAGCCACCCAACAGGGTTTATAAAACTGTGATCATTATGACAGGAGTGCTCGTGGTACAAAGTACTCAGCTACTAACGAAATAGTTATCAGTTCAAACCTACCAGCTGCTCCACAGGAGAAAAATACTGTAGTCTGTAAAGATTTAGAGTGGTGAAAGTCCACAGGCGCTGTTCTGCTGTCCTGTGGATTGCTGTGAGTTGAAATCAATTTTACAGCAGTGATCTAGATCTCTTTTAGAAAACCGAACTGTTTATGGTAGCCAGTTGCTATGTCTTTCCTGAGCAGAGTGGGTGGAGATTCAAACCACTGATCCTTCAGTTGGTAATGGAGCACTTACTACTTACTGTTCACCAGGGGTCCTTGCTTGGCCCGTGGTGAGCGCTTGAGTTAGCACTTTATAAAGTAGTGGTATCCAGTGTGTGCAGACAGATTGAGACTTTAAAGAATGCTACAAATTCTCTTGCATTTTATAACAGACTAGGTCTGAGAGTTATCCGTATGAAAACTTGAAATGGACCTTGCTAAAGGTAGAGCCCAGAATTAAATACAGAACTTTTGGGGGTGTAAAGGATGTTAAACTTTGAAAGCTGTACTCTTCTAAGTTAGACCTAGGATTCCTGGTCTGACTCTTAGGGAAATTCCGTTCACTGGCTGCAGATGTGAGCAGAGGACTCGGGAAGACCACCCTGCATCTTTCTTGAGAGGGCCAGGCTGTGAAGCTGACCGGTCGGTATAAGGACTCCTTATGTGGCCTCTGCCAGATATAGTCTCGGGAAATCTGAGAGTTCTAGTACATCTTAGAGTTCTAGTACATTTAAATAGTATGTACACCCCTATACCTAAATAAAGGAGCACTGGTAGTTTAGTGGTAAGGAGATTTATTGCCAACCCAAAGGCACACAGTTTGAATCCCCCAGCTGCTCCACAGTCCCCGCCCATGTGACGTCCTCTGAAAACCTGCTGGAGGGTCAGCTGTAGGTCTGTTTCCACTCGGCAGGACTTAACACTTATTACAGCTGCACCTCGTTCTCTTGTGCTCTGCTTTCCTGAGCCTCACAGTACAGCATTTTTCACAGATTGAAAGTCTGTGGCACACCTGCGTCTTTTGGCATCATTTTTTCAATAATAGGTGCTCACTTCAGGTCTTTGTCATGTTTTGGTAATTCTCACAATAGTTCAGCCTTTTAAAATACGACTTCTGGTTGTTCACTGCTGTTGGCTCATAGCTGACCCTCCAGTGGGTTTTCAGAGGCTGTAAATCTCATGGGAGGAGGTTGCCCGTCTTTCTCCTGTGGAGCAGTTGGTAGATTTGATCCACCTGCCTTTGGGTTGGCAGTGTAACTCCTTGCCACTAAACGACGATTGCCCCCAGCCGCACACTTAACATAAAGTATGATGTCAACAGAAGTTTTACTTGGCACTGATAAACACACACATTACATGGCTCACTGCATTGCACTGCAATATTCATCTTAACTGGTGATCTGGAACAGAATCTGTGGTGTTCTTGAGGCATGCCTGTAGAGCCACAAAAACAATCCAAAACTTTCTGAGGTAGACTGTTTTCTCTGTTAAAAGCAATGCCTGTACTCACATGCCTTCTTTCTCTGCTAAGATTTCCAGCACCTAAATTATGTCAGAGCCTTTTTAAAGGATTTCAGTGATATTCCTATGGTTGTTAAGTGCTGTCTAGTACCACCTTAAAAATTATTGCCAATCTCTATATAATGGAAATCAAATTAATTTCCAAAATTTTTACCCTGCTCCTTCTATAGCCTTGGTACGAGCAGTCAGGAAATAAGGAGACGCATTGCAATGGAAAATCTGCAGTTAGGGACCTTTCCAGATTTATTGAGGAGTAGTGATGTCAGTTTGAGGACTAAGGTGCATCAGATTCAGGCTATGGTCTTTCTGATTACTAGCTATGCATCCTAGACCTGGACAGTGAGTAAGGATGACAGAAAAAGAATTGATGTCTTTGAGCTGTGGTTTTGGAGAAGAGCACTGAACGTCCCATGGACGGCCAAGAAAACGAATAGATAAGTCTTGGAGAAGGTGCAGCCAGAGTGCTCTTGGGAGGCAAGAATGATGAGGATTCTCCTAACATACTTTGGACATGTTGCTAGGAAGTGCTATTCCTTGGAGGAGGACATGATGTTGGGAAGGGTGGAGGGCCGGTGAACGAGTGGGAGAACCTCAATCAGGTGGACTGACAATGGTGACGGCTGCAATGGGCTCTTGTGTGTCAGGAAGTGTGAGGATGGTGCAGGACAGGACTGGGTTCAGATCTTTTGCTCATAGGCTTGTTATGAGTCTTACTCAATGGCACTTAATAACCACCACCAGCAGCAAAAAATGAAAAACATGAGCCAAAGGAAAGCAAAGATGGGAAAGGAAATAGTTGTTCAGAATTAAACAGATGAACAGAAACTACAAGTAGATGTTACTCAGTAACCCTGTGTACAGTTAGGTAGTTCACCAAATGAGTTTGGTCCATTATCTGAAACAATTTCGCTTTCATTCTTACAGTGACACTATGCACATGCGGTGTGGCTCTCTGGTTAGGTTCTCCTCGAAGCTCAGCCTCTGAGGTATCACCTTGTTTAAGTTCTCAGCCTTTCCGAGCCCACACAGAATGAGAATTTTTACCATGACTCATGTTCCCTTCTCCACCTTACACTTTCTAATGAACTGTTGCAGCTTTCAGACTTGGTCTATACACTGGCCTTCTCTTGTGGCTTCTGTAGAAAGGTATGCAGAACTTAAAACATCACCCCTAATTTGTCCTCCCAATGTTTTTTTCACTGAGTCAAGTCTTCATTTCGTGAGGAAAAGATCATGGACCCTTGTATTTCTGTCTTGTTTTGTTCATGTATTATTACTTTTCCCTTTCTGCGATCTTGCATGGTAACTCCTCCCGGCTTCACTCACCGTTCATTTACTGCGTTCTTGCATATATAGGTCTGCTTTTCCAGCTTTCAAGAACTCTGATTATTATGCTTTCCTTCTAGGAAGAAGTCTCGGGAGCCATCTCTCACCTGTCCCTGGGGGAGATCCCACCCACAGTACAGCCGTTTGTATCCTCAGAAGAGAGGAAGGAGCGGTGGGAACAGGGCCAGGCTGATTACATGGGCGCCGATTCCTTTGACAACATCAAGAGGAAACTCGACACGTACCTCCAGTAGAAACACTGCCATTTCCCTGTGAACCCGTGTACTTCACAGGCTCTTGTTTCTGATAACTTAGCATCTAGAACTGGCCTGAGGACTGTTACAGCTGCTAGGAGATTTCACTCAAAGTTTTACACTGAGTTTTTACAGGAAAGCAGATGAGAACTGAGCAAAAGTTGTCAAAGCACGTCTGTTATGTGGACAGTGTCCTGCTGCTTTTTAACCGAGGTGTATTGTTAATGTTTCAGAAGTTCTCAGTTAATGCTAATCGCCAGTATACGTGGTAGAGAGAGCTCACCCTTAAGCTATTAAGATGGCCTTTTATCACTCCTTCAAATGTGCAGAGACAGGCTGCAAATCAGTGTCCCTTCAAAACGAGGACATGGCATCTGCCCCTTGCTTGCTTATGTACCCTTCACTAGACCTGCATTGTATAATTGCCAGAGGCTTCCAGGGATTGCAATTCTGCTTCCAGATAAAGGTGGCCTGTAACAGCAGAGTGATTCATAAACATACCCACAAATGAGGTTAACTAATTTTATTTCTAGTCTTAGTGTCTGAATTGTGCACCAGTTTTCTGTGAACAGCAAGGCAGCATGCTGAAATGCTTTTGTTCAGTTCTGTATCATAGCAGTGTGTTCTCTGAACGGTTAGCCAAAGTGGAACCCTACATGGAAAATAAAAGACTTAGTTGCCAGATCTTGGTTGTCTGATGAAATTAAGGAATCACCACCACCCCCTCAAAGAAAATAGAATTAGGGAAATTTTTTTTTCACAACTTGTGAATTTATTTTTCCAATTCAATAGAATATGTAATTCTGGGATATATACTTTAAAAATACCAGAGATACTCAAATACAGTGTTCTCCAGTGACAGATCTGATAGATGGAATGAAGCTGAAATGTTCCTACTCCGTAGTCATTACTTTCTCTTCATAGTAAGGGGGTATATACCTTCTAGATAACTTTATTACAGCCTTAAAATGATTTTACCCTTAAAGTCATCAGAAGTCCATTGTTAATCTCTGAACATATTTAAACCTGCTGGAATCAATATTGGACCAGTGCCTTATGTTTTTATCTATGACTTAAAAATGACAGAATGAAAACATAAATACAGGCGATTTCAGGTTGCAAGGACTAACACACCAGAAAGACTGACCCACTGCTATCACCAAAGTTCAACTCATGGTGACTCTAGCAGGTTTCTGAAGCTTAAGATGACAGCTTCAGCTCCTGTGTGGCTGCGGGTTCAAAGTGCCAGCCTTGCGATTTACAGCCCACCTAACCAGTTTCTTGGGCTCCTTAGAAACGGATGGTGGTGGTGGTTGTGCCAACTGATAGCTGACCCTCCAGTGGGCTTTCAGAGGCAGTAAATCACCTGGGAAGAGATTGCCCAGCCTTCTCCTAGTGAGCAGCTGGTGGATTTGAATGTGGTAGGGTCCAAAATGACATTTAAAAGCTAACGTATATTAAAAAAAAAAAAAAGCTAACGTCTAATAAAAACCAAATCATTTCATCGGGAAAACACCAGGAGAGTGGACTGTATAGGTATATATATGTATATAGTAATACATATAATAGCTTTTATGACTTGGTTTATTGGCTGGAAGTTGAACCCAAGTCTAATGCATCAAAGGTAAGAAATTTGCCACTGAACCACCAATATGTACAGTGTCCAACTTTTTAATGTCACTGAGATTTCAAGTGTTTATTTAAGGGAGACTTAACTTGGCTTCTCTTTAAGTAAGTGAATCTGAATATGTCACATGCTAAGAACTGACGCAGAAATGTTACAAAAATGTTATAAATCCCAAATTCTCATTTGGGGAAGTTTTCCTTGCTATGTGAATAAAGAAGAAGGAGTGAGCGTTCACTGGATTTCTGAGCTGTAAATCTTTAAGACACTATCCATGTTCAACTTTCTCCCATCAAATGGCTGGTGAATTCAGTTACCAAACTTCTGGTTAGCAGTCCAACATGTTACGTACTAATTGTGCTGTAATTTCAGTGATCTTGTTAAGAATCTAAATTGACCTCTCTGGTGGTCCCAATCCACCAATGGCTCCTCTCATGTAATTTATGGCCTCTTGAAAACCTGGAGGGTCAGCTATGAGTCACTTCAACTCCTACAGGTTCAAACTCAGTGGTAATAAGAGCTAAGTAAAAAGAGCGTGAAAGAAAGGAAAGGAGATTCCCATTTTAACCACATTGTCATTTCATGTCTGATGTACAGTCACTGCCATCACTTCCAACACAGGATTCTCGATCACATTCCTGAGGCTGTAAATCTTAATGGGGAGAAACTATCCACCAGATCACCTAGCTTCATTTAGAGGTAAATCAGAGGATAGGAACTTGCAAAAGGCCACACAGTAATTAAAATTATTCTAACAGCAATGGCAAGCTGTCTCAACTAAGTGAAATTATGTATCATCGTTAGGTTAGGCATGTTGTCAGGATGGGGGCCCTGATAAATGGACAGTCAGTGAAAGAGGAAGACCCGCAAGAACATGGGTCAGCACGGTGACCACAGTGGTCTTGCTCATAACAGAAACCATGAGGTTAGTCAGGGGAGAGGGCAAGGTTCAGCCCTCTATTTGATGTTAGTCCTAACTGACATGAGGGTACCTAAGAGCAGCAGACAGTCGCTGGGGGAGAGGAGAAAGCAGAGATCAGAGAACGGTCTCTATCTCTAGAAATACAAACACCTGAAATAACATAATAATGAAAATGTTTGATTTATTATGAAGGTAGTTCTGACAAGTCATTGTTAAATGCCCTCAATTCGAGTATGATTCTTAGCAAGCCTATGAACAGATCTGAACCCTGTCTTAGCCTGTGCCACCTGCATCTCTAACACTTTCAAGCCTACTGCTGCTGTCACTGTGTCAATCCATTTCCTTGAGGGTCTTCCTTTCACAGACCCTCCTTTGACATACCTTATGAAATAACCTTTTGCAAAGGCTTTCCCAAATAGGTGGTCTGGCCTTACTATGTAAAAAGTCCAAGGATATCAAATAGTTAATTTTGGATTGAACAAAACCCAGATTTACAATACTTGCATAGAACCTTGAAAAAATGTTTCTTGTTTTCCAATAGTTGTTTAATTCATGATTCCACAGAGGTAAATCTTTCTGTTCTAGGTTTAGGATTGTGGTTTGTGTGGTAATGTGCCGCCTTCGGGGGCCAAGTATAGGGCCTTTTACCTTACACTGAGCAGCTCAACATTTTTGATGTACTCAAACTGTTTCTTTCTAAGGTTTCTTGATGCCAGAGTTCCTACTTCAAATATGTTTGCTGAGAACATGTTTGCTGAGTTAAAAGTCTGAATGTTAGTCCTTTTCAAATATGTGGAGTTAGTATTATTTTGCTAGCCAGACAGTATCTGCTTCTGGGTTCCTGAGAGAAGCATATAGAGTCTTTAGCATCAGAACCAGCTGGAGGGTCAGCTATGAGTTGCTTTCAACTTGCTGGCAACGAGTGGGCGTGTCATACGCAATCAAGGCAGTGACATGTTTTAGTACTCTGTATCTTTACCAGAAGGGATTACAAGATCCCATCCCCCCCAAAAAAAATTAACTGAGAAAAGATATGAGGGGTGAAATTTTATTATATTATTACATATTGTGGTGCTAATCAGTGTTAATTTTTCTGCATACTTACTATCGTTTCTTCTCTATTTTTAACTCAGTTACTACTTTTACACACTTTTACCGTCAAGTTGGAACATATTCATTGACAACCCCCAAGTGGGTTTCTATAAATCACAAAGGAGACTGGACTGCCCATCTTTCTCCCTCATAGTTGATCCCAGTACGATATTTTTCAAAATAAGAAAAACACCTCATCTACCACCTAATCATATGAATCAATGCAGAAGGGACACCTAACAAAACCCAAATGCCTTTCCTGAGAAAAACACCAAATAAAATAGTGCAGAAGGGCAATTCCTCAACATAAATAAAAGCAGACAGACAAAATTAATTCAAACCCAACACAATTCACTGCATCTGAAACCGGCTGTGGGCCGGTTTCAACATGACGGCACAACAGAGCTGCAGCCAGCATTCCTCTCAGTAGAGACTCAGGTGGTCTCAGGAACCAGACTGCAATGCCCTTCACCACCACTCTTCCTCAATATTGTACTGTCAGTCCCAGCCAGGGCACTGAGGCATGAAAAACAAAAGGCTTCCAAATTGGTAAAGAGGAAGGAAAAACTATATGCAGATGATGTGATCCCATTACAGAAAATCCTAAAGACTTGGCAAAAGTTACTAGCCCTAACTGATCAATTCAGCCAAGTGAAGTGTAGAAAAGCCAAGAGACAAAAATCAGTCTAAATCGTCTACAGTAACAAAGGGAATTATGAAAAGGAAATGAGGAGAGGATAACATTTACAATAGCCACTCAAAAGACTCAATAAAGGAATGAATCTAACCAGAGATAAAGATGTATAAAAAGTACAAAATACCACTGCAAGAAACCTAGCGAGACCTACATAAAGGGGGGGAAGGGGGAAATATACCATACTCTCCCACTCATAAGACAGGGAGACTTAACATTGTGACTGTCAATACTTCCAAAAAGTGATCTACCGACATCCCAATTCAGATCTCATCATCATGCTTCAAAGATATGGAAAAGGTAATCAGTAAACCACAACAAAGACGAACAGGAAGCCTTGCACTTGCTGAGCTGAGAATCTAGGACAAAGCTAGGGCAATCATGATACCTGTGTACTGGTGTGCTGACAGACAAATGACTGGACCACAGGGAACCCAGAAGTTGCTGATCTTTGACAAAGAGCTGAAATCCATTAAATGGGCAAAAGACTGCCTCTTTGGCAAATGGTGCTGGTAATACTGGCATCTATTTGCAGTAAGCAGAACAAGATCCGTACCTCAGGCCATTGAGACAAACACTTAAGCACATGGGCATTGCTTATGGGTCAGTGGACAGTTCCTTTATGAAGCTGGCTGAAGTCAGACTCGGCTTTCCCCATGTTGACACTACTCCTTTCACAAGGATTGATGGAAATCAGAATTGCCAGGAGGAAGTGGGAAAGTGTGATGAGACGGTGGGTACTGAAATAAAACGCTACAGAACAAAATGTGTATGGATGGTTGAGGAGAAAATTCGTTTGCTTTGTAGACCTCTCAATTCAAAAATACAAACATGAAGGAAAATACTGGGTCTGCTTAAAAGAAAACTTCCCATGAAGGCTCACCTTACTGCAATTGTGCATCCCAATTATTCAGTTACTGGTATGCTTTTGAGATTTTTAAGGGGTTTTGTTGGGGCTTTTTTTTTGTTTGTTTGTTTGTTTGTTTGGTGCTTTAAATAATTTTTATATTCAGAAGTACCACACAATTGAACCAACAGCTTCACAGTATAGCAGCTGCCGTTGCAGTAGACTCATCGTTAACCCTCCGGCAGGTTTAGAAAGCTGTAAATCGTGCAGTAGAGACTGCCCAACCTTCTCCCATGGAGTGGCTGGTGGATTCAAACTACCAGAGAGCTGTGGCCTCTGCGGCAGCAGCTCAACTCCCAACGGACTAGGCCATCTGAGCTTCCTGGAACTTCCTTAGAGAGGAGGAAATAAGAACTTGATTCAGTGTTTTTGAAGATCAAGACATTTAAAATAATCTTTTAAAACTTACATAGGTCTGGTGGCCTAATGGCAAGAAGCTGCACTGCAATCCCGAAGGCGTACAGTCTAAATCCACCAGATGCTCCACTGGAGGAGGGGCAATCTCCTCCTGTGCTGGCTGGATTTGATTTGATGGTAAACACCAGCACCAACCAAAAACAACCACCCATACTTACACAGTCGATTTCTGAATGAATATAGTCAGACTGAGATGAATACTGTAAGAGGTAGAAATAGCAGTCATAAGAATTTTAATGTTATTTTCATAAAAAGTTATGATGTAATCAGGGTTGAGGGAAGACAGAAAAGGAGGGGAGGCATGATCTATATTGCATTGAAACAGATGAGGGAGAGAACTGTTTAAAAGGGCTATATGAATGGGTATTTTCTTTTTATTAATTTTAATGAAAGTTTAGAGACTTAGAATTTCCAGTCATTCTTTGTTGCACTTTTCTCCCTGCCCATCCCCTCCCCCCTCCAATTAACTTTTCTCCTTGATAAGTAAAAGACTCTTTCATTGCTATGCAATCCTTCCCACCAAGTCCACTGCACTGTGCAGCCTTCATTCTGGACTACTGACATGACAATAATACCTAATAATATATCCCTGTAAATAGTTCTGTCCCTCATCTGTTGCAATGCAGTATACATCATTCCTCCCCTTCTTCTCTGTCTTACCTCAACCCCATTGTCAGTCCTGTTTTACAATTGTGGCCCAATGCAATATCTGTCCTTTTGTGACTAAGATATTTCACTCAGTATAATGTCCTCTAGGGTCATCCACTTAGCATAGTATTTCATGAGTTCCGTGTTTTTCAGTGCTGCATAGCATTCTACTTTGTTAATATACCACAGCTTCCCTATCCATTCGTTTGTTGACGGGCACCTGGGTTGTTCCAGCTCTTTGCTATTGCGAACAAAACCACAATAAACATGAGTGTGCATATATCTGCTTGGGTAGCAGTTACGGTTTCTTCAGGGTAAATTCCTAGAAGTGGAACTGCTGGGTCAAATGAATGGGTATTTTGTCATTACAGAAGTCCAGAATGAAGGCTGTATAGTGGAGTGGACTGGGGGGGGAAGGATTTCAAAACAATGAAAGGGTTTTTTTCTTTTCAAGGAGAAGAATGAATTGGGAGGGAGGGCTGGACAGCGAAAAAAGTGTAATAATGAATGACTAGAAATCCTAAGTCTCTGTAAACTTTCATTAAAATTAATAAAAAAAGTAACAATGTAAAACAGACATTTTCATACAAGTCTGATCTTTAATGTAAGATTTTCTTTTAAAAAAGTCACAAAATATAGACCAGTAAAACTCCTGACCTTTTTATTGATTTTAAAGTGAAAACTCCAGTTTGAACCACAAAATTCCATTTGAATCACTAGTGCAAATACAGTATCTCTGATATGTATACTCAACAATGAAACTAAATTAACAGCATGGAATAATAGTGGAAGTTTTCATTCCAATAGTAGGTTCATTTTGTGAATGTGACTATAAAAACACCACTTAACAGAACTTTACAAAACCAGACAATCATTTTTCTTTAAATTATTTGCCAAACTAATAATGAAATGTGTTTCAAAACACAATTCTACAAATATTTGGGCAGAAGTCAGCCAAGGTTTTACCTTTATGGTAAGTTTTTGAGACTATCTTTTTAATGAAGTAGATGTGTTGGTTTTGCTAAAAAAATTTTTTTTTTTTACTTAATCCTAACTGAATTCTTGGTATGCGAGACATCACATCGCCATATTTTGTGAAATCCAGATCGGTTATGCAGCTTGGAACCTGTATTCACTGTGTAAGTTTTCTAGTCCCAAAAAGTAAAGAATATCATAGCTGCTGCTAACAGCCCATGATCAGGCCACGGTGCTTTCCTACAAGGGGAGTCCCCTGGTGGTTTTTCTTCAGCATCTCCTTCCTCCCTTCAGATGCCACCACAAAGAAAAGGGACAGCTAAGCAACTGTTCCCCTGGAATATGAACAGGGCACAGGAAGGGGAAGACCTGGCTGGCAGAAGACCCAACACAAACCTTAGATGTGTGACTTCCATCAAAACATTCCCTCCAAACCCTTCTTACTTCCAGTCAGGTCCCTTCTAATGGTGAAAGTAAAACTATTCTTAAATTTTATGATCTCACATGAAGTTCCTCTTCTTATAGGAAGTACTAATTCTTTGCATTTAAAAACGGGGGGGGAAAAGGTTCCCTTAAGAAATTAACATCAGTGACTTCTCTAACCTGATCATTAAATTTACTATCTGATTTAAATATAACTTGAAGAAACATACAGAATTCTGTGGCAACTATTATGAATTTGCTTATTAACAAAATTAAGAAAAAGATAGTTCTATGCATACCTGTAAAGACAGCCAAATTCTCTTTCTAGTAAGTTTTTCCATTCAGAAGTGAGATGTCTTAAGTGCTGAAATGACTCTGCAGGTTACTCAGTAGTACACCTTCCAACACACAGAAACACACCTTCCACATATAGTTAAGTATATGTAAGTCTTCTGAATTATCAAAGTTTATAAAGTTACCTTCCCCCAAACCTACATAAATAAGAATTATCTATCTGTAGAAATACCTATTTAGCATTGCCATAATTTAAATATCCAAATCAAACTGGTTAGAATATGTTTTCTTCTACATCCATAGACTGTATATTTACACTTTGTTTTTACTTTTTTTTTCCTTGTTGTACCATCAAATCAAATCCAACTAGCACAGGAGGATTTTGCCCCTCCTTCTCCAGCACAGCATCTGGTAGATTCAAACCATGTGCCTTTGGGATTGCAGCACAGCTTCTTGCCACTAGGCTACCAGAGCTCCCTTCTATTTACATTTTAAATATCAAAGTGTTTTTGATAACCGTAACACTATCTGACTGAAATGGAGAAAATGGTACTATTTACATTTTTTAATGAACATAAAATTTTAAGTAACTTGCTAATCTGGACTTTGGTCTCTTAGTATTTTAAGGTTTGGTTCTGGAATGCAAACACGGTTTTTAGAAGTCTAATAAAATTAATCTTCTATACAATCAACACACACAGTTTTACAAAAACTAGGAATCTGCTGCCTTCAAAATAGGGGGCCTCAGTGAACACCCACATATATTCAACCAGAAAATAATTCTTTACTCTGTCAAAAGTATAAAAACTTTGATCTCATTCTCAATATGAAAAAGCTGAGTACTTGGCAAGAAATATGAAAATACTCAGCACAGACACTATGAAAAGCTGATTAACAGGGTAACTTTTTTTCCCCTCAAAAAGTTCTTTTAGGCCACAGTATAGAACTGAACTTATTGCTATTTGAAATATTAAAATACAATCATTTGTAGAAGAGATTATGTGTCAATAATACCACTAATACCACTATCAAATAGGCCCCTTTTAGAAGACATTCTAGATCCCATTCCTAAAACATTGCCTTTACTTCTGCATCTATCTATACAAACTGACTTTACTAAAACCCCACAATTATAAGTCAATTAAAGTTTTTATTTCATTAATTTTAGCTTGTTTCATTTCATTCGCATTTGGTTTTTTTGTTCCAAAAGCTCCAGCTGCAAGTTCTCTCTTCGTGTTTTGGATTTTCAGCATATTTTCTTCAACAGAGTCCTTTACAATGAACTTTAAAAAGAAAGGAAAAAAAAAAAACCAAAAACAGGTGGTGGCAGTTAAATTTTTAATACTCTTTAAGTCTCTACATTAAATATTAAATATCAAAACCAAAAACATGACTGAAATCCAAGTAAATTATTACTGAGAAGCAGGAAGGATAAATATGTTAACACCACTGTCAACTTAAAAAACGACATTTCTAAGTCGACTGTAAAAGGTTTAACTATTATAGAATTTTCAAAAATATGTAATAATAATGTTTTAGAAACTAATTGTACACATGCATTTTTTTTTCTCAATGAGAAATTAATAAAATTCTCAGCATTGCTTTCCCTTACCAATCTATACAATCTTACACAATTCACAACAGAGAAAAACACTGAAATTACTTAACACGTTGCCACAAATGACGGCAAAATGTATTTCTAAGCACGATCTTCAATTTAAAATGCGTGACAAAGTTTTAAGTAATCTTAAGTTAGAAATTACAAAATTATAAATAGGATTATTAAAAAATAATTTATCACTGCAATAAGAAAAATGATTTTCCCCCCAAGAAGGCAGGAACAAATATAAAGCATAACATTAAGTTTAAAAAGAGGAAAATATATCACATACCCTTCCCAAAAGAGATGAAAAAAAAATTAAAATTTAAAAATTTATTCCTGATGATATGGGGAAAAAAATCATTAAGCCAGGAATTTTAAAAAATAACAAAGAAACTTTACGTCTTATTGAGAGTATTTACTAGCTAGCTACAAAATAAAAACATGCTTATGTGGAACCAGAAAAGTTCTTGCAATAAAAAACAGGGACACGTGAAAACATGATTTACAATCAACACTAGTCAGTACCATAATTGGGAGAAAATATTATAAAACGTGAAATGAAAGATGTAAAATGAAGAGACACTAATGCTAGTCCTAGATAGGAATGTTTATAATTCAAAATCCAATATAAGTAACAAGAGTTTCAATAAATTTCCACTTAACAGTAAATAACAGGAATAAGGTATGGTTTTCAAATAGAAGGGTTATCAGAGCACTCTCTTTTGGTATATCAAAACATACTTTATCATATCTCAGTCACAAAAGGACAAATATTGCATAGGGCCACTGTTGTAAAACAGGACTGACATGGGGGTTGAGGGAAGACTGAGAAAGAGGGGATAAATAATGTATACTGCATTGAAAACAGATGAGGGAGAGAACTGTTTAAAAGGGATATGTGATTAGATATTATTGACATGACAGGAGTCCAGAATGAAGGCTGCATAGTGGAGTGGGCTTGGAAGGAGAGACTGTAAAACAATGAAAGAATTTTTCTTTTACTTTTCAAAGAGAAGAGTGAATTGGAGGGAGGGGGTGGGCAGGGAAAAAAGTACAACAATAAATGAATGGAAACCCTATGTCTCTGTAAACTTTCATTAAAATTAAAAAAAAGGGGGAAAGAAAAAAAAACACAACAAACATACTTTATCAAAGTATGTTGTGGTTGTTGTTAAGTGCTGTTGAATCACAGACAACTCATAGTGATCCTATGAATGAAAGACCTGAACACTTGTATAACTTTGATCGTTTCTCCAAGTTCATAGGGTTTCCAGAGACAAGCTATTTCAGAAGTGGATGCCACTCCTGCTTCCAAGCTTGTTTTAATCTGAGAGCTCCACCAAACACTGTCCACCATGGGTAACCATTATCGCATTTGACACGTTAGTGTCACAGTGTTTAGCATCACAGCAACCACAAGTTACCTCTGTACAGCAAATGGACAGACCAGTGCTATATACCACTTAGAAGAATGATTGACCAAAAACAATTAAAACCAAATGCCTTTTTAAAATAAGAGGTTGAATACAATCAACTCACACCAAATGGCTAGTAAACATTGTCTCTTGGTCTCACCATACCAGAAATGATAGAGGGGGAATAAAATTTAAAAAAGAGCTCAACACACATTTTGGCCGATAACAAAACTCAACACAATGTAGATTATCTCTACATTATGAAATATATTCTGCAGATGTTAAAGAGAATGAGTTTGACCAAAATGTACACCTTCAACACATACTGTTAAGACACAAACAGCAAACAAACTACAACAACAAAAGTAACAAAAACCCAAACCCACTGCTGCAGAATAATAAAGTATGATCTGTGCAATGGTGATGGTGTGTGCCATCAAGCTAGAACCAATCCATAGCTGACTCTCCAGGGGGTTTTCAGAGGCAGCTGCAAGGGAGGAGACTGACTGTTCATCCTTCTCCCGCCAAGCAGCTGGTGGATTTGAACTTTGTGCCTTTGGGATTGCAAGGCAGCTTCTTACCACTGAGGCATCAGAGCTCTATAGTCTGCATGTATCCTTTAAATTATTGTTTTGAAGAACCACGTGCATAAATGTTAAAGTACATAAATTGTTCGGTAAGGGATCCTGAAACACACATCTAAAACTACTTGATAGTGGTTACTGTATATTTTGTTTTGTATAATTCTATTTTAAACCTTTATAATAATATAGTCATGCTAAAAGAGCAAAATAAAACAATTCTGTTTTCAAATTCTTATAGAACTCACTTTTGTGATGATGACTTCCTGTTTTTGGCCAAGTCTATGGCATCTGTCAAAGCACTGGTCCTCAGCAGCTGGGTTCCATGCCTGGAAAGACCACGAATTTACTTTAGTACTTTCCTGATGTGTGAATTTTCTGCCTAATCAATTCATTTCAGTATTATTCATCCACCTTTTCCCCCACTGAGATAATGACCCTAAAAATGTACTTAAAAAAACAACAACAACAAACAAAATACAACCCACAACAAAACACAGGCTTCTCCCACTTAAGTCACTAATTTGACAGGTAAGCATTTTTACCTGTCACTGAACTGCAATACATATAGAATGTACTAAAGACCCTAAAAGATAGATCCTAACAGATAGTAAGCACTGAACAAACTATTAATCATATTAATTTCTTTCTGCTTTGTTTTCCATTAAAGTCATTTATGACTGTTTAACAGAAAAAAAGTAGGTTTACACATCCTCTTAGATGACCTATTTATATAAGATACTAAATTGTTGGACCTATTTACAAAAATATTCTCTGCTTTGGCTGATCTTTCGTGGTACTTCTCTTACCTATTCATGAAATAAAGTTACAAAACAAGGTTTTAGTTGTAAGCAAAAGTAAAGAAAAATTTAATAACTTTGTTGATAAAATCTTCTGCACCTGTATCTGCTATCAGTTTGACTTCAAAATTAATCTGAACCAGTAACATGAGTAAAATTAAGGGTTTTAAAAAAAATCATGTCACTATTAAAATGAAGAATAAAATGAAGTAATGAAGGGGGTAGAATAAACAAAAAGATATAGAGCTCCTCAACCTAGAAAGTAGTTTCCAAATAATATCATCAACAGTCTGGATGCTGTAGGTTGTTTCCAACTCATAACTACTCCATGAAGTAAGGCGGAAATCCTTCCGTTTCCCAGGCTGCCATCCTAATGGGAACAGAGCTTTTCCCTGAAGAGCAGTCACTGGTTTGAATCGCTGCCTTAGCACTTAACCATCACGTCACCAGGGCTCCTACTATGTAGATGGGCTCATTTAAATTTTCTCTTTCAGAGGATAAAAGAATAAACCCCAACATATGTAAATGTACATTTACAACTTCTCCTTAAGCTATTTTTCTTTTCCAACTCTCCTGAAATCCTGAGGAAAGGGAAAAATTGTATTATTAACATGCTCTAATATGAGCTCTGGTGACTTCGTGGCAAGGAACTACGCTGCCAACACAAAGGTAAGTGGTTCAAATCTACCAGCTGCTTCACAGGAACAAGAGAGGCAATCTCCTCCCTTGCTTGTGAAAGCCTACTGACCATTGCCAAGTTATGATATTAATCTGAAATTTATGTTATGTGGCTCTAGTGTTACATTTCACAGAAAAGATTATTCTCACTTGAAAATACAAAGTTTTGGGAAATATACATGTGTGAACAAGGTAGTCTCACTTGAACAGCTCAAATTTCAATTAGAGGCTGTACCAAGCTGCTTTGAGCTCAGGTACAGTCCTCAATGCAAATCACGTAAAGATTGACATGACAGCACGAGGGAGCAGTGATGGGCTGGAATTGGTCATGATGAATTAGACAATCATATGAACTGCTCTGCCAGGGACAACGAATTGAAAAACAGTGCTGTCACAGTCATCATCCAAAAGAGCATTTCAATATCCTCAAAGTATATAAACCGTTAATAGGATACTATCCATATGCATACAAGGAAGAATTGTAAAGACAACTATTATTCAAATATACACAACACCAACCATTAAAGCTAAACTATTCCAGTCATGAAGTAATGAAAGGTATAATAACTAATGTTATTAATAACAACTGAAGTTGGAAACAAAGGATGAGGACAGGTAATTAGAAAATAGGGCCTTCTATTACAAATAAAAAAGATTAACTATACACATGGAATTCATCAGATGGATTACATAGGAATCAGATTCATCTGTTTAATGAGCAAATAATTAAAGAAGCTACATTGTATGATGAAAATTGGCATCAGGATTAGAGGAAGACTCTTTAACAACCTGTGTTACACAGATAACATCACCTTGTTTGCAGAAAGTGAGGAAGACTTGACGTATTTACTGCAGAAAATCAAAGACTACAGCCTTCAATATGGATTACATCTCAACATCAAGAAAACAAAAAGCCTCACAACTGGGCCATTAGGTAGGCAACATCATGGTAGATGGAGAAAAGAAAAGACTCAAGTCAAAGATTTCCTTTTACTTTGATCCACAATCAACCTCCATCAATAAAGACATGTTGCAATGGAAAAAATCTGTCAAGAACCTCTTAAACACAATGCATAAGAACTTTGTAAACAAACAAACAAACAAAAAAAGAAGCTCTTCAAAGTGCTGAGGAACATTTGAAAATCCTCTTTATTACACTACACTATATTGTGCAAACCAAAATTTCCATGCAGGAAAATGCAATGATAACTAGTATAAGTGAACAGTCTAAACACCCCTACATTCTCTAAAATCAGAAGGCTCATTCTTCTGTTTTTCAAAATTTAATGACTAAGGAGCACTTGGCTTAAGTCATGGTATTTCCAATTTTACATTTTTCATATGCATGTAAATAAGGAAAGCTGGAAAAAAAATCAATGCCTTTGAATCATGGTGTTGGTAAAGAGTATTGCATGGACTTTTTTCCTGAAAAGGCCTTTATTGAAAAGACCACAAAGAACACAGAAAGAATAATTCCTTCTAAAAGGCAGTGCAAGGTAAGGCTGGTGAATCTTTCTTTGGGCACACTGCTGGGAGGTACTAGTCACTGGAAGAAGCGGACACACTGGGAAAGGTAGAGAAATTGAGAGAGAAAGGACCCTCAACAAGATGGACTGACACAGTGGCTGCCAACAACGGGCCTTACGGCTGTCAGAAACAAATGTCAGAGACCATGAGCATGGTACAGGACTGGGTCACCGTGAGTTCCAGAAAACTCGCAGGCACCTAACAAACAAAGCTATGTGGGACTGGACAAGTTATTTAACTTCTCAGTGCTCAGTTTCTTCACGTATAAAACCAATTTCTAAAGAGAATATTGTAAGAATTTCATTTAATATGCAAGTTTAAGAGAACGCCTTCAATTTATTTACTACTGCTATATATTTTTTTCTTACAGTTCACCTAAGAATTTGCATTACTGCATCATGAAAGATAGTAATTTTTCACTTTCTTTCTAAAGGATGTAGAAACAATTAATGTATTTCCACCTCTACTGCTATGTGAAAGACTGCTGACAGTGTGAGGTCACCTAGATCTGACTATGAAAAGAGACCTACAGATCGATCTACTTCTCCCAAAAAACAAGCATTCAGAAAGTCTCCGGACCACAGCTCTACTCTGAAACATACACGATCACCACAAGACAGAGAGTTTTCACAACTGGGAGTAGGCAGTAACACATCCAGTACCTACAAAAGTACTTACCGGATCCATTAAAAACACTCGAGAAGCTGCAGAAAGATTCAAACCAACTCCACCTGCTTTTAAAGACAGAAGCATTATGGTTGGAGATCCTGCTTCAGTATTCTGGAAACACTGTATTGATTCAACTCTTTTCTTTTGGGGCATGGAACCATCCAACCGAGTAAACACAAATCCAGAGGCTCTATTTGGAGGAGAAAAGACAAGAAGCACTTATAAAACATTATTCAATATTATACATGTCTTTATTCAATTTTTTCTCTGTTATGTAACAAACATTTACAAAGCACCTACTAGCATACTAGAAAATTCAGAATTAAAATCTTTAAGATTATAAGTTACTAAAAACTATTGCTTATTGTGATTCTGAGTATTATTCTGAATAGGCAAAATTCATAAAAACTAGCAAAATATTACATGCTTTTGCTATCAAAATAAAACCACAATATTCTTTCACTCAAAATGAGAAATACTCTTGAACTTACTTAAGTGGTGTTTCTATTAAAGAGAGAAATGTTGTAAATTGTGAAACAACTAAGCTTTTAATGTTGGGATTCTTCGTTCTTAAATCAGTCAATGCATTCATTAAAGCATTTATCTGAAAAAATAAAGAGACCTCATTATACCATTTTTAATTAGCAAAATACATTCAAAAGGTTTTGTAAATGTTCATTTATTATGGAGGGAAAAAAAAAATCAACAGATTTGCTAAATGAATATTTTGTAGATAACTAATACAGCATTCAGATTCAAAGAATAATCTAAACTCTCTTTCCTGTATCTACCACAAGAAGTAAAAAGCTGATATTCACCAACACAGTGTAATAATTAAATGGCAGGATTAAAATGAAAAACAATATTTTTATACAAGTATGCATTTCCTTAAGTATAGCCCAAGTAATCCAATATTCAAACAATTATTTTACCTTTGAGCTAGACATCCATTCCATATTTGGTTTTTTCTCAACACTGGATGCTAATTCTTCTGGAGGACATTCTAATAAACTGTTTCCGTCTATATTATTTCTGCATAAAGGGCATTTAGCATTAGGCTGCACAATTAAAAAAAAAAGTGTGGGTGACATTTACCTAAGGAATACAAATGTAAATTTGCCTCTAAAATTTTTCTGAAGTATAGGAAAGTATATATACCTAATAGCATTTTATTAGACTAATACATCTGAGAGAAATGTTTGTTGAAAATTAAGATGTTTTAATAATCTAATGAAAGACGTACACAGGGATGGTAAAGGTAGGAGCAAAAGTAAGTGCTACTGAAAAGCAGAAAAAAAACCCTGTGAAATAGTAAATACAACATCTGAAGGCAAGAACTCATTAATAAGTTTCATGAACCACACCCATTTCAATGTAACACTATTCAGAACTAATCTTCTGCTTCTAAGTGTACTATTAAGCTCATCAAAGTATGTCAAATTCCATCCAGTTCACTCTAAGCAATATCTGTTCCATCCATTTCTACCAAAATTTGCTAATAATATTATTATCTTAAGTGTATGTTTTGCTGTGTACACAAATAGTGAAAACAGTATCTTAATAACAAAGAAAATACCATTATAACAGATTCTGAAACTAAAATTGTTAGAAGTCAATACATAGTGAGGTTACTTTTGGGGTGAAGGAAACAGAAAACTGGGAGAGAAGTTGAGAGAATGAGTAGTAGTTACATGTATGTTTTCATTTCATAATTTACCAAAATATATTCAATGATACAGGTTGGTATTTTTTTTTAAATGTGCTATTTATGAAAAAGATTTTTTCAAAATTCACCTGTTGCTTAAAAGGATATTTATAGAATTAAGTGCCCTTCACAAAAATTCTAACAAAGAAACTAGACCTGTACTATCCTATGTAACAGCTAAGTGCCATATGTGGCAAATCATACATCAGATTTAAAAAAACAAAAAAACAAAACCCACAATCTATGACATCAGTAATTTCTACATTGATTATATATTAAATAGTAATCAATAAAGTAGCTGATATGAGTCAGAGGGTCAGCAAGAGTCATAGTCAAATCTACAAAAAAAAAGACTAGATTAAGGAAAAAGTATTATTAAAGTGAATTTCACATTGCCTTTCAGGTTCTTTACATTAAGCTGTCAGAACACTTAAAATTCCTTTGTGTTTCACATAATGCATAAATTTATTACACAATAACAATCTAAATGGCTAGTGGAACCTATATCAAAACACAGTGTTGTCAAGTCAGTACCAACTCCTATATGATGCTCCCATGGCTTTTCAGAGTCTATCAACTGCACAGGAGACTGCTCGTCTTTCTCCTGTGGTGCAGCTGGTGGATTTGATCTGTCAGAAGTGTGGCCTTATGGATAGCAGTGCAAGTCCTTACAGACCATGCCACCACAGGACTAAGAAAGGTACTGTAGGAAAAAAGTCTGTATTTTTAAAATAAAGAGCTTAACTTTAAGAAATCTATTACCTAGAGCAATAGAATGTTAACGCTGAAGAATTTTTTTATTAAAGTCAAGTGTATCCTTACAGTCTCTTAACTTTCTATTTTCATTCTATTTAGATTGGTCCGTTATATTTAGAACTAACCTGCTCACTCTGAATGACCTGGCAGATACAGGGCTTACAAAATACATGAGCACAATGTGTTATCACAGGAATAGTTAAAGAATCTAAACATATTGCACATTCTTCGTCTGAACCAGAGCTCAGAATTAACTTCATCTTCTTTATTAATGTCTTTCTTAGTTCTTCAGGTGTGTCATTTCCTAGAGACAAAAACAGAATTCATTTCAGAGCAAATACTTTAACGTGACTAGACAAATTAATCTACCTTGTGCAGGAAAACATTTCACTCCGAAAAATCTTGTCTTTATCACAGCAAAAAGCATGTTTACATATGAAATTGTAAAAGAAAAGTTCATGAGAAAAAGTAGTAGCCAACCCACATGATGTCTCAAACAGAAACGATACTGTAACATGATCTACATTAGCCCTAAACAAAAGGCAGGTCCAACTTAAATATTTTGTCTATTTCATCTTTCACTGGAAATCTTGGGAAGACTACCTTGTCATTCCATTTCATCTGGTAACTTTTTGTGTATATTCCTATCTGAATAAAAAATAATTTCCATTTCACATAAACACACACAATCCTCCACAAACAAATGTAAAAACTCTAATAATATCTAACAAATATCACAGTATAAGCAAATCACATTTAGTTACCTGTGGGACCACCTGAAGAGACTGTATTTGTAAGCAGATGAGTATGGCAACAAATCTGTCGTAATCTAAGCAAAAGACCCAGGACATCTGCATAGTGTGCCAGGACAGTTCCTTCATTAAAATACCTGGAGGGCAAATAGAAGAGATACAAATCAAAACAACGATGACCTATCACCTCACCCAGCAGCAACAGCAAAGTTTAACAGGACAACTATGCATAGGTGCTGAAATAGAAAAGGGAAAGGGGAGATGCAGGGTGGCGGCAAACAGTGGACCTAAGGTAGGAGAGATCAGTGGACGAATGAGTGAGGTGAAAGAATATGCAAGGCATGGTGAGGATCTGATGAGATATGGTGATGAAAGGATTTGTTCAATTCTAATTAACATAAAACATAATGCATATGACAGCATGGAAATCAACCAAAAAACCCACCAGATATGTAATGTTTTACAAGCTCATTTTTCAATGCTGTGTAGTAGTCCATTATAGGAATATACCATAGTTTTTTCTAGCCATTCATTTGTTGATGAACCCTTGGGTCATTTTCAACTCTTTGCCCCTGGAGCACATCATGCTGAGTGAAATAACCCAGTCACAAAAGGACAAATACTGCACAGCACTGCTGTTAGAAAGCAGGTCCTGACATGGGGGGTTGGGAGGAGAAAATATTAGGAGTTGATAGATAATGACCATTGCACTGGAACAGGATGAATAGAAGAAGATATTCTAAAAGGAATATATGATTAGGCATTATGTGTGTGTGTGT